TGACCTGTCTAGAACATGAATGCTGTTTTCCTTGAAAATTTCTTGTTTCCATTTTTTTTTGCAGGTATCAACACATATAAAAATTGGGGAAGTGATCAGAAGAGTAGGTATTTTTTTAAGATATCTAAAATCAGGAACTGGAAAATGTGTTCCCACTGTCTCCTTGTGTTTATCTCCAGGGTTTCTAACTAAGGAAAAGGGTTCTTCTTTCTGTCATAACACTTCTAATAGTTAGAAGGGGTTATTTTACAGTTTAAGGTTGCTATGCTGAAGTAAAAAATCTTTGTAAGATTGGGAAATTGTGTGGTCAGTCAATTGTGTGGTATTTTAAGTAGTAGATTTTTCCCAGAAATTATTTGGAAATTTGAATCTGAGTGAATTTCTACAGTATTTGTAATTCTGTCAGAATTGCAAGGCTGAGGACTGTAAATTTTCACTTGTTAAATAGCTAGCTTAACCAGTTGCAAGTGAATAGGCTGAAAGGTTAAAGGCAATGGTTCACTGAACTCCATAGGAGACTGCGTGGGGCAAGTTTCCAGTGTTACTGAGCTGTCTAGCTGACCTTTTCATATTTTTTTTCCCTCTTCTTTTAGCAGTGGAGGGTGTTTTCCATTCATGCACAGTCACTGGCTGAAGGAGCCCTACACTCTGTGTTCATCACAAAGTTAGAAACAGTAAGAAGTAACACAACCTCCTTACCTGTTGCATATGTCAGGACACAATCGTGTGTGGAGATGTGTAATTTTTTTGTGACTCTTACTCACAAAGTGGTAATGGAAATACTTTGTTCCATTAATTGATGCTGGAAATAGGAACTCCTCTTACAATACCGGGTATTCCATAAAGCATGATGTATTTTAAAATACTATGTATTTCAATATGATAACATTAAAATATAATGTAGCAGTATTCTCATTGTCGAGTGTTCTGCCAGAAGATAATAAACTCTTGACTGGCATTGAAGCTCTTAAGTGGAAGCTATGCTTGGCTGGTAATGATGTCCAGTATCTATCGAAAGGAACCACAACAGAGGCAACCTTTCCTTACCTACTTAGACTGAGGACTTGGCAGGTCTCCTATACTAAACAGGGTAAATCTGATCTGTATGTGAATGGCAGATCTCCAATGAAAAGTTGAGGAAGTGCTATTGCTAATTCAGTGCAAGGCACTCTTTCTAGTAAGGCTGCTTGGACTTGTGACCCCAGCCTGTTTCCAGGCGCTGTTTAGCAGTGAGAGGCGGTTTCTTTCAACCTAGCAGATCAAAGGGAGGTACTCTAACCTTCTTGTTGGTGGTTTGTAAGATATGGCATCGTTAAGATCAGAACTAGCATTATATTCTGGGCACACACATATGAAGCAATGTGTGAGACTCAGCTGATTCTGTCCATGCACAAATGTGATTACTTACCAGAAAGCCACACAGCTGTTTTGCTCCAGATCTCCTTTGTCTGCCTGTATGTTCTCTCCATATTACAATCAGGCTTAACCATTCCTTCAGACACCTACTTGCAGTTCTCTCAATACGTTGAACTATTTCAAAGGACAGGAGAATGGAGTGTAACCATGTCTTTCAGGTTAGTGAAGGAGACTTCAGAGAAAAGTTAGTACATTCTTTAGATGTGACACTGAAATGCTGTGGTATCAACATTCAGGACTTCAATTTGAACATCTGTAGGATTGGGGACTGCTGAAAATGTAAGGCCTTGTATGAATGGCACTATTCACTGCCACAGTATTCATGACCAAAGTTTTACTTTGAAAATACAAAAGAAAACTTAGCACTTTCTAGTAAGGGCATGTGATTGAAGTTTTGAAGATAGATGTGCATATTCATAGGAGTTCTGTAAATCAGATTGCCTTAACTTTTTTCTTCAGAATTGGAGCTGAGTAAGGGCCAGATTTTTTCCTTTTGTTAGCAACCTGTAGTTTGTATGAGCCGGTCAGAGTTTGGAGCACTCTGCACACCTGCAGAGTGAGGTTCAAACTGTATTATGGTAGGTGCACAGAGATGAACATTGGTTGGTTGATAATAGGAGTACTTACACTTGATGCAGTAAGTGGGACTGCAGAAGTGTGACAGAATTTGATGCCAAATTTAGTGCTTAACTAACAGCCTCTTGGCTTGTACTTACAGGAGAATCAAATCTCTGTGTTGGCTCTGCAGGCTTGCAGAAATGAAGAATAATTTTCAGTTAATTCCAAAATAAGCATTCTGTACATGCATATGGCTTCATCTCAGAGGAAGTGTGCTTATTCAAGATAGTATTTAAACATGTATTTAAGCAAATGTTTAACTATCAGTGAAGTCATGGAACTAAGAATACACTCAACTCCCATCCTCAGAGCAAGCCAGAGAGGAACATTTACTTGGGTAGGACTCTGTGTTTTTAAACTGATTTTTTTAAACAGTATAACAGGGTGTCTAGGATATTGTTCATATTGAATAGTTATTGAAGGACATATCAGAAATTGAAATCTAAGTTTAGAGGTGTAGCTTGAGTTAAACATAAAGGGTAAAGAAGATTGCCAGTCCTACAGCTAACAGTGCTGTGGAGTTCCTGGTTAGAGGAGGCCAAAAAATCTGGAGGATAAAAAAATGCAGTTGCATTATTCTTGTTCATTTTGCTTTTGATTTTTGAAGCCTTTAAAGTTAGTTTCCTTTGAAGGAGAGCAACATGAAATAAGGTGTTCTTAGGTCTTTTTTTTTCTTTCAAAAAAGATACTTAAGCACAGTAGCTTTTCTTTAAAATGTAGTGCATAAAAAATTACATGATGGCACGGTACAAAGATTATCTTGGCACAGGACTGGGATGACTGAATTGCTTACAGAGCTTTTGACACTTGTGAATAGTGTGATCATTGCAAAAGTGTGCCAATGAAAACTTCATACCCCAGCAGTATGTGTGTGTGTATAAGTTAGTGTGTTCTAATTCGGCACATTTTCTAGTACCAGATTGAGGAAGAGCTTCAGTGTTGTGCCATGTTGTTGGTGTATCTTATGCCTGGTTGCCAGAGTAGCCTCTATGGATAAGCGAGGCTGTGGGCTTTGTGACACAGTGAAAACGAAGTGAAGAGAGTGTTAAAAAGGAAAGGTCTCACATCCCATTTCCTTATCCCTCCTGACTCTTGGCTGCCTACTCCTTTCATTTGCCTTGAATCAGTTTTGATGTTCATCGTATCACAAGGATAAACTCACTCACTAAAATGGAAGATAAGTAAGTACCCTGGCAAGAAGAAAGGAAAAAGTGACGTTCTTTCTTCTTTGTTGTTTTTATTAAATATTTAAATAAATTCTCTTCTTTGTTATTAAATTGAATCATCTTACCTTATAATCAGATGAACAGGACAGCCATCAGTGGCTTCAAGGGGTTGTGTGTGCCAGGCCTTTTCCTGTCTGCTTTTGGGTGCTTAAAGGTGCACGCAGCAGCTCTGGGGTGTGATGCATTTCTTGTGTGTTTGCCAACTGTTGTTGGTAGTATTGCAAGCTGTACCTTAAGAACCTTAGCCTAGGTGTAAGACCAAACAAGGCTGTTATCTTCCTTGTCTGTGTTCACTGCAGTGATCATAAATTCCCAGTCTCAAAAGGTACACCCTGTGGTTAAACTGGGCGGGGTGGTGATAGCCAGCCGAGGTTTGTCTGGAGCTTGCTATCAGTAGCAGAAGAGCATGAGGGACATTGCTGTGGAGCTTTGAAGGTCTTGAACTCCTGTTGAGCAGGTGAAGATTTGACTTACAGACTTTTCAGTTTAGTCCTGTTGCTACAGTCCATAAAGCTGTCAGGCACCACCTTACCTGTTTACAAGTACAGAGATGGGTGGGCTGACATGAGCAAGGAGGAAGAGTTGGGGTCTTGGTAAAGGTCGCAGGCTCCATCACATTGTTGGTAGGTCGTGTCATGCTGCCTGAAGAAGGTGCAGTGCCCCGCAGCACCACTGCTGCGGTTATGACTGTGATCTGATACAGCTTATGTGGGGTCTGGAAATAGAAAAATAAAATGGAGACTGTTGTGTCATAGTACTGAAAATGTTAGAAAGCAGGAGGAAGCCATGGTCAGAGGGAGGGAAGAGCAGTGGAGGGAAGAGCAGAGAAATTCCTCTTCCTTTTAGCAATGGCAAGCTGTTAATTTATTCCAGTAGCATAATGAAACCACATCAGCAGTGTACAGAGTACCGTGTAGGATTCCTTTCTCCCTTCCTCATGTGTCAAATACAGCTGAAGACAGTCCATTAATTTCTAAGAGAGTTTGGAGTGGAGTCTGTTCTCAGTGCAAGTAGACGGATCATTTTGGTTCTTTAAAAGGGGAAAAAAAAAAAAAATCTGAAGTTTTTGTCAGTCTATGAAGTGGAGACCTGTAATTGTGAAAAGTGCAGCTACTTAGAGATCCAAACCATTAGGAGCTAATTGTGTTTTTTCCTATGCTCTTCTCTCTATGATGTTCATGGTGTTTGCCTTAATGTTTTCTATTACTAGAAAAAAGTATGTGTTCAAAGGTGCAAGGAACTCTTCATCTCTTGCAAACAAGACCATTGCTCGTGCTGTCAGAGGAGAGCACTTTGTGGGTAGTACATTCTGTTGTTTTATCAGAGTCTTGTGATCCTGAAAAACACTGAAAAAAAAATTTTGTGTAGAGATAGCCCTGTGAAATTTAGTACTCTTGTGCTTCTATTTGCCTATGAAGAAAATGATGCTTTTGGTAAGGGGCATCAAATTGTTCACTGGAGGATGAAGCTCTTCAGAACAGTAGGCAACTGTATGTATCAACATACTGTTTAGTATTTCACCTTTTTAACAATACCCCTTTTCCTGCACTTCTTGCAATTATCTCTTTCAGTTTCTGCAGGCAGTTCAGAATTTTCTGAGTGTTGAATTTGCTGAAGGTCAAAGGAGAGGGTTGCCTGGATGCTGTGCCAGGAGGATTCCAGTCCTTGTCTGGGCTGCTCTCTGCCTTCCAGTAGCTATAAAAATTCATTTCCCTTCTCCCCCTCCCTGTCTCTTTGCAGGTTATCTTGACGAATCAGATTACCACATCGTTGAGCAATGGCCTTGCCATCCAGGCAGACCTGGTGTCTCCAGCTGATGATTTGTCCCTGTCTGAAGGTAAGAGATCCCTTCTATCACAACTGAAACTCTACACTGACACAAATCCACATTGTAACTTGCAATCTTCTGTTGATACTCAGGGGTCTGTGAGAGTCGGGATATCAAGTCTAACATAAAACAGTCTGGGAAAAAAATGATTTTTCATTTTCTCTGAAAGTCCATTTATAAATTAAAGAAACTAAGTGTATTAACTAAAAGGATCTGACACTTTCTAAGGGCTGGGAATGAATTTTTCAAGCCATGTCAGTTCTATAACGTGTTCCTCAGCATTGGACTTTCATTCACATGCATTTAGATCATTATTTCCTCAGTTTTCTAAAGCTGCTGCAGATTTAATACCCAGGCAAGGTTACAGATTTGATTTTATCTAATGATTATTAGTCATTCCAAAGAGGAATTTCTGGTCACAAATGAAGGAGAGCAAATACTCAGTCCTGTCCCTTGCATCATGCTTGTCTGGTTTTCAAATACAGTGCCTCAAACTGCAGCTCTCAGTATTGCGTGAATGTAATATTCGGTTGTGTGTGACACCATATACTACTTTACATCTTTATGTTTCTTTTTTCTTCACACAATTAGAGACAAGCACACATATTTGGGTTAATAGTGAGGATTTACTGTGCTAAGAAGAAAAGATAATTCTGAATCAAAGTTTGCAATGTAATATCATAATTTCAGCTTTCCCCATTTGCAAAGAATAGTCAGAGTACCCTCAGTCAGGGACACATGCAGAGGAGTTTGCTGTTTAGAGTTCAGTTCATGCATAGACCCAAATGTATGATGTAAAGCAATGCTCACCTTTCCTGCAAAGGCATGATAATCGCATGTAGACTTCCTACTTTGTACGATATGGGTATTTCCCCTCTTTCTTGCCTTGTTGCACTTTCTGGTAGTTCTGGTCAGCTTATCTTTGTTCTGGTTGATCACAAGCAGCCCTCTCAAGCTTCTCTGACTTAACACAAGAACAGCTTTGTGTCAAAAAACAATTAAGCAGTGGTTAAAATTGACATTATTTCTGCAACTCATTTCAATGCACAAGAGAAGGAGGTTGAAGATAGATTAAACTGAATGTCAGAGAGTAGCAAATAACTTTACTGTAATATCTTAACACTGATTGATGTGTTTACTTCATAATTTTGCCAATAGGAACTTGGGCAAAGCACAGCCCATTAAATCATTTTGGAATTGTGCTTGTGGCTTTTGTTGGCTCCATCCATTGCCAAAGTATCTCTGAAGTTCATTGCTTGAATATTGCTCCCTACCTCTGTCAGAAAGAGTTGAAGTTTGGTAACTAGATTTGGAAGAGGAAGGCGTCATTTTTCATCTTTATAATTTCCTTCTTGGCATGAAGTTGTTGCACATTGTCTCATTAAATGCTCTTGATCACAGTACTTGTGCTCTTCTTTGTCCTTCAGAATTGCTCTGTATGAGCTTCTTCTGAAAAGAAAGTCATAGCTGACTCTGAAGTGAAAGTAATAATAAAATATGTTCTCAGTATAAGATTTTTTTTCCTTGTGGTTAAAATATTTGAAAAGTCTTTGGAAAAAAGCATGGAATAGTTGTAATATTTCTAAATTTTCCTGCAAATATAAAAGATTCTCAGTACTGTGTGTGAGCTGTAGTTCAATAGTATTCTGAAGTCAGGACTTCGTAACAGTAACAGCTTATTAATGAAGCTATCGTGTTGTGTCTAAACTCTGTCACCATTATTTTTCACCTTTTAACCCAAGAATGAGTTAAAATGTGTTGGTGCTCTGTGTGTGTGTTTTCCTTTGTTTCTCTCATTCCTTGTTTCTAATTAAGGGTCTTAAGTGGTAAAATGTGCCAGCATGTCACTTGTTGAAAATGCAAACCTTTGTTTAGCCTCAGAACAAGAACGGTAGAGACAGCAGCAGTGCAGGCTCCTTCAGTAATTGAGGTTTTATCAAGGGATGCAGGACTGATAAAGTTCTTTCCTTCTCTCCCTTCCCTCTTCTGTCAACTACCATTGACACGGCATTTATATGTTGGGACAGCACAAGGCATCTCCACACTACATGGTTTTCTCCTGTTTTTCTTATCTGTAATATGGCTCTTTCTGTATTTCCAGTTTGGTTCAGTATTAACAGATGCTGTCTACCTGTGAATAAAAGCGGGATTCCAGGTCCATTCAGCATTTGATTTCCGTGTTTATCTTACTGTCAAAAGATACAGGTGTGGCCAGTGTATGGTTTTTTTTTTTAACATCGAGGTGTTGACCTGAAAAAAGTTCCCTGCTAATTTATTTCATGTTAGCTATTGAACAGCCTGAAAGTAGCAATACTGTATTCATGTGACAATCTTGGGTACTTTTAGGAGTCCTTAATGAATTAGTCTTGTAGGATTAGTGTGATATTTGTAACACTGCTATTTTGCAACTGTAGAATTTGCAGGAAGGAGTAGTTAGGTGATGAGCCCAAGTGCACAAAGTGGTTATGTTGCAGAGGCAGGAATAGAGGCCAGATTCATGACTGGGTTCTTACCTCATTCTTCCTTTTCACTCATCACCAACTAAAGCTGAATTTGAACCAGTGACCTAGATGTGAAAGGACCCATAACACATTATTAGTCCTGTAAGCAAATCAGATACCTTGGTTTGTGTATGTCTAATATGTTGTTTTAATCCTATCTGAAATCAGAGTTCTGTCACTGTAAATGGTTTGCTAAAAAGGTAATCTTTCTTGGACAGAGGCAGAAATTAAAATTTCAAACTGCATGTGCTATTAGAAGTTGAATGTTACAGTGGCTTTTGTTTTTTGCTCCTGGTTGTGCTTGAGAAGAGAATTGCTTGGGTTATGTTCTATTAGGGAAGAAACCAAAGAAGCTGTTCATCTGATGTGTGACAGAAAGTTAATCTGATGAACAAACTGAAAGGACATTGTCAAGCTGTTTCAGGCTCAAAGCATGCCTTCTGTAAAATTGTAATCTAGTGCATGAAAACTTGTGTCCTAAAAATATGTTAGATTTTTGTGAGAACATTAAAGACTTTATAAAAGCAGTGCTGGATGTGAAATCCCACCATTTATGTAGCAGTGTAAGAATTATTGAACTATTTATTGATATTTCTTGTAGGAAATGGTTATGTCCACCTATCCCAGATCTGTACATACTTCTGCTTCAAGACAGGGGAGGAAAAAAAAAAAAAAAAAGAGTTTAGTTTGATAGAAATTAAAGTGCTGTATAAAATACAAGTTTCTCTACTGTGGGCTGAATCCTTGCATTCATTTGGCCTTTACATGTTTGCTAGATTATTATCTGAAAGAGTTTAGGCTAATAATGATTTTCTGCAGCTCTGAAATTTTCAGGCACATAAGGCTGTCACTTGTTCCCTAGGAACAAAACTCAGTTTTTACTTGTGGCTGTGCTGTTCTTAGCCATCTTGCAAACGCTGTCATTGGAGGTTATGGAGTGGAGGATGGTGTGAATACTGCTGTTTCATTTTCATCCTTGCTTTATGGAATAGCCTCTGTTTAGCTCTTCCAGTAAAGGACAACTTTAAGAAGCCTTAAAGTTATTTTAGATTGAAGAGATGGTTAGACAAGCCTAGGACTGTCACTAGGCTTGAAGATGTAGCTTGAAGAATTATTTATTATTTAAATATATAAAAAGTAGCTCTTACCCCAATTAAGATAATGTGCCTAATAATTAAAAAAATAGATTTAAGTTGCATTAGGGTAAATGAACAGTACAAATGGAGTGCAAATGACCACAACAAAATACTTTGTATGACTGTTAATTAAAGTTTTTGAACAAGTTTTCTGTGGCTGTGACTGTACTATTTTTGTTATTTTTTTGAAGTTCATGTGACTAGATTTTACCTAATGCAGGGAGTTGTTAGAAATTAATTCTAAGCCTGTGTGTGAGCACTAGCTTGGACTGTGACATTTGTGTGTTTCATTTGTCTTCTGCGAAGAGATAGGACAGTATGACCTACTCCAGGTCCATTCTAGTCCACCGGTGCCTATCCTATTAATATATCTGCCAGCTGCAAGCTCTGACTTCCTCTTGCAGACATCAAAGCCCAACTCCATCTTTCTTGGAAAAAGTTCAGGAGCGTGTTGGTATGAGCAAGAACAGCATCCCCCTCCCAGTGTGCGCAAAGCATCAAGCAAAAAAGGAGTGCTGTCTCAGGCTTCTTCAGTCTCAGCTAGCACTTTCAAATATTTGTTTGGAAAAGTCAGAATTATTTTGTGTTTAAAATTGTCTGTAAACTTGTGCTAGCTCTGGGGAGGCCAGCGTTCAATCTTCTGCCATTTGTGTTCATCAAACAGTTTGTCATAGCATTGTATATTTTTAGTGCATGGTGTGAGCAATGAGCTTAGTCTGACCTTTTTGTCTTTGTTGCTGTGATCTTGAATTCTTTTAAGCTGTTGAGCAGAAGTAGGCTTTCGCGTTGTGGAGACTGGAGAAAACTAAGCTACCATAATATCTCCCACCCACAGGATTTTCCTACTTTAGGGGCAGAAGATTTGAAGCTGGAATCTCTCACTTCTCTTCTTTGCTTTGCCCATGATCTATCAGATTGTTGTTAAATAATTTTATTCTTCAATCTTCAGTTTACCATTTTTAAAATAGGGGTTATATTTTTATTTTGAAACTTATTTTTCTTAATATTTCATGATATTCCTATGGGCAAAATAATGAGTTGACCTGCTGTTCACGCCAGAGTCCAGTTCTGTAGTTTATTACTTCTCTCCCTTCAGATTCCTTTTTTTCAGTCCTGGTGCCAAATGGAGAGAAAACACTGGAGGAATTACCAAGAGAACTGAGGGGCCCCCAGAGATCAGATGCTGTTGGTTGGTTTTGGTTGGTTTATTTATTGATTTATGTATACAGTTATGCTTAAGGTTAGACCTGCAGGTGACAATAAAAATAAAAAAGAATACTCTGTGAGAGCACAAACATACCTTTTTGCACAAACTGTGAAATTATGAAGTGGCTGTTAAACAAGTTTCTAAAATGCTTCCTCCTTGTAGTTC